GCGGCGTCGCCTCTGGTGATGCAGCCGCCGGCGGAGCTGTCGTCCTCGTCTCCACCTGTCCATCGAGTCACTTCGAGTCACTTCCTTCCCACTTGTCATTCGAGTGCCGCCAAATGCGGCAACAGCGGCGGCGGCGTCGCCTCTGGTGATGCAGCCGCCGGCGGAGCTGTCGTCCTCGTCTCCACCTGTCCATCGAGTCACTTCGAGTCACTTCCTTCCCACTTGTCATTCGAGTGCCGCCAAATGCGGCAACAGCGGCGGCGGCGTCGCCTCTGGTGATGCAGCCGCCGGCGGAGCTGTCGTCCTCGTCTCCACCTGTCCATCGAGTCACTTCGAGTCACTTCCTTCCCACTTGTCATTCGAGTGCCGCCAAATGCGGCAACAGCGGCGGCGGCGTCGCCTCTGGTGATGCAGCCGCCGGCGGAGCTGTCGTCCTCTTCTCCACCTGTCCATCGAGTCACTTCGAGTCACTTCCTTCCCACTTGTCATTCGAGTGCCGCCAAATGCGGCAACAGCGGCGGCGGCGTCGCCTCTGGTGATGCAGCCGCCGGCGGAGCTGTCGTCCTCGTCTCCACCTGTCCATCGAGTCACTTCGAGTCACTTCCTTCCCACTTGTCATTCGAGTGCCGCCAAATGCGGCAACAGCGGCGGCGGCGTCGCCTCTGGTGATGCAGCCGCCGGCGGAGCTGTCGTCCTCGTCTCCACCTGTCCATCGAGTCACTTCGAGTCACTTCCTTCCCACTTGTCATTCGAGTGCCGCCAAATGCGGCAACAGCGGCGGCGGCGTCGCCTCTGGTGATGCAGCCGCCGGCGGAGCTGTCGTCCTCGTCTCCACCTGTCCATCGAGTCACTTCGAGTCACTTCCTTCCCACTTGTCATTCGAGTGCCGCCAAATGCGGCAACAGCGGCGGCGGCGTCGCCTCTGGTGATGCAGCCGCCGGCGGAGCTGTCGTCCTCGTCTCCACCTGTCCATCGAGTCACTTCGAGTCACTTCCTTCCCACTTGTCATTCGAGTGCCGCCAAATGCGGCAACAGCGGCGGCGGCGTCGCCTCTGGTGATGCAGCCGCCGGCGGAGCTGTCGTCCTCGTCTCCACCTGTCCATCGAGTCACTTCGAGTCACTTCCTTCCCACTTGTCATTCGAGTGCCGCCAAATGCGGCAACAGCGGCGGCGGCGTCGCCTCTGGTGATGCAGCCGCCGGCGGAGCTGTCGTCCTCTTCTCCACCTGTCCATCGAGTCACTTCGAGTCACTTCCTTCCCACTTGTCATTCGAGTGCCGCCAAATGCGGCAACAGCGGCGGCGGCGTCGCCTCTGGTGATGCAGCCGCCGGCGGAGCTGTCGTCCTCTTCTCCACCTGTCCATCGAGTCACTTCGAGTCACTTCCTTCCCACTTGTCATTCGAGTGCCGCCAAATGCGGCAACAGCGGCGGCGGCGTCGCCTCTGGTGATGCAGCCGCCGGCGGAGCTGTCGTCCTCGTCTCCACCTGTCCATCGAGTCA